GCACACATTTGTACCATATAAAAACATATTAGAAACTTTCCCTTATAGTCCCAGCAGGCAGCATTCTTTGAGAAAACTGAAGTGTTTTCTTACATCTGAGAGAATAGTGCTGCCAGTATTGTAGGGCCTTTCTCAGTGTATTTTCAAATGTAACATCAGATAAGATTGAATTGCTCCATAGAATGCAAGACCATAATAAACCACAGAAAGAAGTCATTTATGATATATTAATAAATATTATAGAAAATTAGATTTGTTCCCTTGAAATTGTACTTGCATATGTTAAAATATTTTTGTTAGATTACCAGTTCCATTCAAAAGCCTTCCAGTGCCAGAGAAAAAAAATAAATGTAAATCCATTGAATTTTCAACACTAGGCTTTGTGTGCGTTTCAGATAGGTTATCACTGTTTTCAAGTTTTGGTGGATTTGGGAAGAATTAAAAGGAAAGTGTCATTAGAGATTAAGATATAAATTATTGATATCACTCTTGAAAATATATTAATTCTCCCAATGTTAAAAATTTGCTTGAAGTGCTTCCAGAACTGCTTACATACCCACAGCCTGATTCTCTATAACTTTGTACTTTGTATAGTTATTTGCATGTGTGAAAAATATATAGATGTGTATATATATTAGAAAATACACGTGTGCAGAGCATACTTGACTTGCACGTGCTTTTATTTATTTTTTTAATTAAAAAACAAAAACAAACAAAAAACCCACTGTTTAAAGCTATAATAAATAATCAAGCAAACAGATTTAATATTCTTGAACAAATTATGGAGCAATTCGGAGTATACCTGAGATTGGAAGGGTATTTTACAAATCACCATTGTAGGAAACAAAACAGTGGAGAAAAACAAACAAACAAACAAACAAACATAACATTTAAAACCATTCATTATTGTATGAATTGTAGGAAACCATCCTTGCTGTAATGAGCTGCTGTGTATAATATGCTTCCACAAAAGTAACAGCAGTAGAGCAATTGCTTTGTGAATTCATTGGAAATGAATGTAAGCAGAATAAAATGAAGAATATTTTCCTGCTGAGTTATAAAGATGTAGAAATCTAGAGAAATCATAGTGTTCCGAAGTGCCTTATAGCTCTAGAAAGTAAAGCGAGTACAACAAATGACTTACAATCAGTGACTTTTTCAGTCTCAAGAATAACAAATTCAAAGGTCATTTATTTTGGTGCACTTAAAGTGCATTCTGTCTAGAAATTCACACTAGAAGTATGTAACTTTTAAAATATACATATCTTGGAATGAGTCAGTATTCACTCATTTCAATAGCAGAATAACAGCAGTTCTCAAATGTATAAAAACCCTTTTACTTGATTATTTTAAGATAAATTTGTGAATATTTGCATTTTAGTTTTGTGGAAGTACTTTTCATAAGCAACAAATATGCATGCAATGCATGTCTATGCTCTAACCATATAAATATGTACAGAAATTTCTCTGACTGGAGGTAACTATTTTCTTATATCCTCAAAATGTGTAAGGACTGTCCATCTAATGTCCCATAGCTAGTTTTATTTTCGTACCTCAATTATCTTCCTCCTTATTGTAGCTGAAGTTTAAATTTTTTTTCGTTGGTTTATTCTTCCTTATAATGTGTTTCTACTGTATTATCATAATGAGTTCAGCAAGGTAATTTTGCTTGGAGTAAAATGTATTTTCTTTACACAGGTTCAAATACATTAGTAACTAAGAGTTTCATACTAATCATATAGGTTTAAAAGGAGATTTACAACTTCTACAATTTACTTTTAATTTTCACAATCCATTCAAAGAATATTGGGCATATATTCTTTTCATGTCTAATATAGCTATAGCATATTAGCACAAGGAATATCACAGGTGAACTACAGTAGTCTGATAAGATTGTCTTCAGCTTCATGTTGAGTTCTGCCATCTTCTCTAAATGGGTTTACCATCTTCTAGGGAGTCTTGAATTGAAGATTCAAACAAAAAGGTGAGCTGAGTTAATTCAGTTAGCTTAACTTAATGTTTAAGAGATGACTGCAGAAAGCTATGCAAATTTTTAAAAAGTAATTATTTGAGTGGTTCATATTTGACATTAACTTAAACCTGTTCCTCTTTTTGTGCTAATAAGTGGCAAATTATATTAAAAATCAGGAAAACCTTTTTAAAGAAAAAACAATCAGGAAGTAGAAAAGAAGTATTTCAGAAATGATACTGAAATTGGATTTAAATGATTCCAAAAAATGCAATTTAGAGCGTTGCTTCAATGTTATGGAAGATTGAGCTTCCCTCAAATCTCAATTTCTCTTTTCAGTAATTGATGAGTGTATATTTTACATGTTATATTACCTTAATTCTATTTAAAAATATACTATTCAAAGTCCACATGCAAACACTAACACAAGAAATATGGTATTTATGTCTCGAGCTATCTCATTTAACCTTCTGGATCCTTGCATCTGACAGATACATTTGTTTAAGTCCTCCAGACATGTAAGCTTGTCATCTAATGTTACTGTCTACAGTGTAGGGATCTAGCTTGAATAAGTGGTATATGTTTCATACCATACATTTCATGGAGATGAAAAGGCATCTTTGGAGGATGATTCATTGTGCCTGTCTTAGAAAGAGATGAATTGCCCCCTTGAAGTAGCTATTTCTTTTCATAAAACATACATTTTAGATCACTGATCTTAAGTATTGTAAATCCCTTATCTAATGTTCTTTCAGAGATATAGAATGTCTTTTTATTGACATGAAAAATCTCCAAGGGTGGAAAGTGCAGAACTTGTTTTAATGCTCAACTATCGTAATAATGAAAAAAGTTTTCTTGTATCAAGTCACAGCTCCTCTTGTTTTAATTTAGCCATCTTTCCATTGTATTTCAAACTAAAGCCAATGGATATCATTTATCCCCATTCCTGGGAAGCATATTTCAAGTATGTTTAAATAATGCCATCAAGACTGAACTTCCATATGAAACAGAGTGGTTGTTGCCCCTTTCATCCTAAAGTAGGGTCACAGAACAAAGAGAAAGGAGAATAGGGTGCTTTTTCTCTGTCTGCTGTCTAATGAGTCTAATGAGTGGTTTTACTAGCCATACATGGACTTAATCAATTTGGATTTTTAATTCTCAAAGAATAGCTTTCATGTTTTACATGAGACAGGTAGTAAATGTGACCATAACTCCAGACAAGTTCCCAGCTATTCTGTTGAAAAAGTTAAACATGGAAAAAATTAAGCAGTCTGGTTATGCAGCCTAACAGAATAGAACATAAAGCAGGTCCTGAGGGAAATTTTAGCATCTAAATTCTAGAAAATAATCCTAGTAAATTCTAGAAAGAAAACCATACACTTCCAGAAGCTCTTGGGCATATCAGCTTTACTGCGTGCATTAATATCTCAGTATAATATATCTTAAAAAAAAGAGCATGCTTCTATCAAATCCATTTCATCCCATTTGCTACAGTTGTCTATCATTTTTCATAATTTCAACATCTCTTTTTCAGAATTAGACTTAAAAATTTCTGCACTGTATAACATTCTGCACAGAAAATATGTTCTGCATTGTTTGCCCAGTTTAAGGGCTTAAGAAAAGCCTACTTAACTCTGAGGTTGTAAAAGCTGCCAAAATACAGTACAGAAAACAAAACAAAACAAAACAAAGAAAACAACACACAAAACCCCACAGAATAATCACACTTCTGATGTGATTAGGGTTAGGGTTAAAAAGACTTCTCCTGTTACATCACTTTTCAGAAATATTTGCATACAGATCAATACATAGTGTAGCAAATATAAATTTTGCCCCCTACATAGACAAAAATAGTATAACATAATTTGTTGTATTAATTTTTATATGTATTTTTTATCTGTATGGTACAAAGTACAAATCCCATTTTTAAAATGTTTGAGTTTATTTTTGTTTATCTTTGTATCTAGGATAAATGTGTGAATTCTAAGATCATAAACTACTGACAGTTCTAGAAAAAGTTATCCACTATGAATTGGGAAAGGACTAGTTATTTTTTTTGTATCTGACAGACATGCACTGTGATGTTACCTTTAGCAGGCTTATACACACTGTAAGACAGTCACTATCTACTTTGCTTTGAATTTTCCAGGCTTGGTGCATGTTTCTTTTCTACATATCTGATTTTATTTTTAGTTGCCCCAGAACTAATGATTTTCCTGTGAATGTGTCCTACATTTTTTCTCTCTTCCTTAGCATTTTAATTCAGATTCAGTCTCACACTTTTCCTTAGCACGTAGCTGCACAATTTTCTTCTCTTCCTCCTCTCCTGCTTCTGATCCTTCCTATCATGTCCTACCATCCTATTAGGGATAACTGGGAAGTTTATCATCCATTCAGCTGTCTAAATAGAGAAAACAGTGAAAAATTCTAATGCATTTGTCCTTTCTCTCAAAACTTGACTCTTTGAGAGCCCTTTTCTAATTCATTTTAAATTTTCCTGTAGATTCAGAAGTGTTTGGTTGAGCCAAACTGTCAATACTGTAATTGTGTAACTTCAACCATTTCAGGAGACAGAATTAAAAATACATTTACTGCTGAAGAATAACCAGATGAAAGTAATTATTTGACTATCTTATTGAAAGCTAGTGGTCTTTGGATATCTTCATATAATGTTCTGTATATTCCAAATAAATTTTAAAAATGTTTAAGATTTGCCATATGCAGTGGCAAACATTGCTAATTCATACATGTAAGTAGGACAGATTTTTCTCCTCCTTGATCCTAAGGACGCTCAAATGAGAAATATTGTAAAACCTGATAATGACTCTTAAAAACAAAATATTGCAAAATATAATTAATATTTAGATTTTTGTAAAAGTGCATTTGGATTATCAAAGAAAGTACACTTATTTCAATCTGTTTTATTTATGGATTGTATTATTGTTATTGTAATATCTGATTTGACTTTTGTGTTTCCTTTCTACAAGGTTTAATAATAAATAATTTTCTTTCTCTTTGCTTGTTTTGTCAGTGAAAAAAGCAATTGAACTGAAATCAAGAGGAGTCAAGATGTTGCCCAGCAAAGACAGTAATCACAAAAATTCAGTCTGTAAGTTGTTTCTGCCATTATCTTTAGTGTCTGAACATGTATTTTTGGAGCTCTAATGAATATACAGAAAGAAAAATGTTGAGAAGCTGTGGTCATAAACTGGTCATTTTGTTATCAAATGTCATTGAATTTAGAACTCTGCTGATAGTACAAAAGGTGTAGAATGCAGAATATCACATTGTAATGCCAGAAAAAAAATAAAAAGAATATGTAAAAAAAAAAACCTTTTTATGTTTTGGGATATTTAGAATTTAGAGATTCAGAAGACAAATTAGCTGTCCAGGAAGAACAGTGCCATACTGACTTTGTTAGATCAGTACAGTGGGGCCATGAAATCACCATAGCATTTTATAGATTGAGGATTGCACATAACTTTCTTCTGCCATTTAGCATCACAGATTTAATTCTTCCCCCTCCTTATCACATTGTATGCCTTAGTGACTGTCTCTTTATAGTCCTGTGATGCAGCACAGCAGTGTTTAAGAACTGTTGCAATTCCCAGCTTCTCAAGGGGATGGAAATCACAGCATCACCTTCCTTTCACTGTATGCTTAGTGCACTCTGGAATGACATCTATTTAGTACATTTCTGAACCATTTTCCCCATATGTAGTGTGAGAATAAAAACAAGAAGTTATCAATGAGATTGTGAGGCTATTTTTTAATATATGTTGTATTTTCCCTGAATGACTGGCGATCTGACAAGAATCTTGAGAGCTATTTCTCCATTAATCAGGACAGTCTTGAAACAAGAAAAAAAAAAAGAAAAAAAAAAAAGATATATTTTTTATATTTTGGAAAGCAGAGAGTCCCTTTGCCTAAAAAAAGCCAGAGGGTAAGCACCCAAAACTAATTAAGAGAGCTTGTATAATGACTAAAACATATTTGAATAAGTTAATTCTTTTTGTAATAACATTGAGCTCAATGGAGTGAAACTCAGGCAATATTTGCCTCATTGCATGCTGTTCTGAAAGTACAGAGAGAATGAGTGTCTTGAAGGGTAATGTCTAGGGGATACAATTTGGTCTCTGTGTTTCTGAAGTGCACTGTTTAATGCAAAATGAGTGTATTGGTATGCTCAAGGGAACAAAAGACGCATGATATTTTTCTGCTTTAAATATTGCACATTGATGGTGTGGCATTCCAAAGGAACTTTCTGTGCAATGTGTAGCAGAAAAAGTTGTTATTTCTCTTTGGTGTTTGTATCTGAGTGATGATTTCATTATTTATAAGTTATTTCCAGGAGCTGTATGATCTCTGCTTACACTCTCAGAATACATGCTGTGAGACACTGTTTAATTATTGGAAGTGGAAGTAAGGCTGTGGAAAAAATGTTATAAGGCAGTTTGCTGTTGACTTCAACTATAATGTCCTTTGTTTTTATTTCTTTCTGTTCTGGCTTCTGAAGCTTTATATCATGTCTGACTTTTCTACATGAGTCTCAGTTTATTATTAGTTTCATGTACATGAAACAAACAAAAATATAAATAGTTGGATTCAGATATATTTTTTTCGTGCTCCATATGATTCAAGCCCTTAGTATTTAACTATTTTTCTTGTTAAAAATCATGTAGATGGAAAAGGTAACAATAGATATTTCCATTTGATTCTAATGAGCAGATTTCTAGAAAAGTAAATTAAAGACTACCTGTCTCCCTGTTTTAGTATTTTAATCTTTTTAACATTCTCTGTATAGATGTAACAGCTTTCCATCCCAAACTTGCCCAGATTCCTGAACGCTTTACTTCAGCTGTTCTGTTACCCTTTTTGAAAGGCATGGCCTTGGGACACAGGTGCTTTGGCAGAAAGCATTACATTGTGTGTCATTCCCTAGGAAAAGAAAATGCTTTTTTTTTTTTTTTTCCTTCATTACACCTTAAGGAAACACGCCAAGCAGTGAGGCAGATGCATTTGAATAATGATTAATTTATGCAAAGAAATTGGAAAGATATTTGAAGTAAAATATTGTCCCAGTTCACCCAATGTGAACAGGCCTAGTAGGGATTTAAGTACACTAGGCAAATTTCTGGAACAGTAAACTGCAAGAAAGTAAATGCAGTAAAAAGTAAATGGGAAGCTTTGGTAGATTCTTTCTCACAGTTGTTTCTCATTAGTACTTAGGCTGTCACAAACATTGACCAAATCCAATTCCTTTAGTCATCTAAACTGATCTCTCAAGAGGAGCAATGAGAGAGTTCTAGTTTATGAATCTGTGTAGAGGAAGCAAATTATTTTCCATCTGGTTTACCATTGATCTGTTTAGTTGTAGGCTTAGCCTACTCACTTTTGCTTCCTTACTTATCATTCTTATGTATATGGATAATATTCTCTAAGGAAATACTTGATCCATCTTGTCACTCATTTGTATTTTAACACAGAATAACCCCGCAGGCTATCTTCTTAATGATTGCAGACTTTTCCTAAAACTACTCTGACTACAGCTGACATTGTAACTGATTAGATGAAAAATATAAATCTGATGTTAGCTCTTGTGCCAGTATGTTTTCAGGGCAATATTCCTGACCAGCAACTCTGTCAGAGGTTATTTATTACCTCTAGACATCTGAGCACTAGCACTACAATAGAAGGATTGTACAGGGGGCATCCTGTGCATGCAGAAAGAAAAGCCTTCATAAAGGGGATTGAGTGTACCCTCTGTAAGTTTGCAGATGACACCAAATTTGGAGGTAGTTTCAATCTGCCTGAGGATAGGGAGGCTCTTCAGAGGGACCTGGATAAGCTGGATCATTGGGCTTAGATGAATGGGATGAGGTTCAACAAGGCAAATGCTGGGTCCTACACTTTGCACCACATGCAGTGCTGTAGGCTTGGGGATGAGTGGCTGGATGACTTTGAAGAGGAAAGGGACCAGAGGGTGATGTTGATGCTTGGCTGAACATGAGCCGACAGTGTGTCCAGATGGCCAAGAGGACCAATGCTATCCTGGCCTGCATTAGAAATAGTGTGGCCAGCAGGAGCAGGGCGGTAATCATCCCCCTGTACTCAGCTCTGGTGAGGCTGCATCTCGAGTATTGTGTTCAGTTTTGGGCCCTTCACTACAGGAAAGACATCAAGGCCCTGGAACGTGTTCAGAGAAGAGCACCAAAACTGATGAAGGGAGCACAAGTCTTATGAGGAGCGGCTGAAGGAGCTGGGATTGTTTAGTCTGGAGAAGAGGAGGCTCAGGAGAGACCTCATTGCATTCTACAACTTCCTGAAGGAAGGCTGTGATGAGGAGGGGTTTGGCCTCTTCTCTCAGGCAACAAACAGGATCCAAGGTAACCCGAGCCCACAAGTTGTACCAGAAGAGATTTAGATTAGACGTAAGGAAAAACTTTTTCTGTCAGAGAGTGGTCAGACACTGGAATGACCTGCCCAGGGAGGTGCTGGAGTTGCCGTCCCTCGCAATGTTCAAGAGTCATCTGGATGAGGAGCTACAAGATACGGTTAAGTAGCTTGTCGATGACGGAATCAAGTGCACCCTCAGCAAATTTGCTGATGACACCAAGCTGAGTGGTGTGGTCGACACAGTAGAAGGAAGGGATGCCATTCAGAGGGACCTCAACAGGCTAGAAAGGTGGGCCCAGGTGAACCTAATGAGATTCAACACGGTGAAGTGCAGAGTTTTGCACTTGGGCCGGAGGAATCCCAGGCATCCGTGCAGACTGGAAGGAGCGGTCCTTGAGAGCAGCCATGTGGAGAGGGACCTGGGGGTCTTGATAGATGTAAAACTTAATATGAGCCAGCAGTGTTCCCTTGCGGCTCGGAAGGCAAATGGTATCCTGGGCTCCATCAGAAGAGGGGTGGCCAGCAAGGTCAGGGAGGTGATTGTTCCCCTCTATTCTGCTCTTGTGAGGCCCCATCTGGAATACTGCGTCCAGGTGTGGAGCCCCCAGTACAAGAAAGACAGGGAGCTGTTGGAGAGGGTCCAGAGGAGGGCCACAAAGATGATCAGGGGACTGGAGCACCTCCCCTGCAAAGACAGGCTGAGGGAGCTGGGCTTGCTCAGCCTGGGGAAACGAAGGCTGTGGGGTGATCTCATTGCAGCATTTCAATACCTAAAGGTAGCCTACAGGGGGGAGGGGAATCAACCCTTTGAAAGGGTAGATAACAGCAGGACGAAGGGAAATGGTTTTAAGTTGAGGGAGGGGAGATTCTTTACGGAGAGAGTGGTGAGGTACTGGAACAGGCTGCCCAGAGAGGTTGTGGATGCCCCGTCCCTGGAAGTGTTCAAGGCCAGATTGGATGGGGCCCTGGGCAGCCTGGTCTAGTATTAAATGAGGAGGTTGGTGGCCCTGCATGTGGCAGGGGGTTGGAGACTCATGATCCTTGAGGTCCCTTCCAATCCTGGCCATTCTGTGATTCTGTGATTCTGTAATGGTGATAGGAGGATGGTTGGAGTAAGTGATCTTGTAGGTCCTTTTTATCCTTGTGATTCTATGATTTTAAATAGGACTTGAGGACAAACCATCACTAGGTAGCCACAGTCTTTAGAAAAGGTTTATTTTCTAGGCAAGAAGGAGAATCCTGAAGTTTATCTTTCTGCAGTTTCTGTTGATCATTCCACGTACAAAGAAGCTAGTACAGGTTTTTCTTTCTTCAAGACACCAGCTTACAGAATATTGAGAACTCAGGGCTGTAACTGCAGACTTGCAGCCCTGTACCTTTGTGACTCTTTGGCTCTCTCCAGCCTGCAGCAGCTCAGGAACAGTGCAAGGTTTGGACAAAAGACCCAGCAGCCTCTGATGTGACAAGAAGTTCCTGGGATAGCTGATTTTCTGAGTTAACTTTGTCAAAATGCAAGGCAGATACTGGTTCAAGCTGTAGAGCACAGTAAATTGCAGGGAATGTTCACAGTCTAGAAAAGCAATGAAGGTTAACAAATGAAATCTGAGTGATTATTTAAAAATATAGTTAATGTTGTGCTATGTTAATGGTTCATACTGAATATTATTTGAAAATATTTCAGAATAGCAGAAAAGCACACTTAAAATATTTTCA